TGTATTTTGAGGCTATTATGAATGGAGTAGTTTTTCTAATTTACCTTTCAGTGGATTCATTGCTGATGTATAGGAATGCATTTGATTTATGGGTGTTGATTTTATATCTTGTTACTTTGTTGAATTCATTTATTAGTTCTAGAAGTTTTCTGGTGGTATTTTTTGGATCTTGTAGGTACAGGATCATGTCATTGCAAATAGTGATAGTTTGAGTTTTTCTTTACCTATTTGTATCCCTTTAATTGCTCTGGCTAGAGTTTCAAGGATGATATTGAATAGAAATGGTGAAAGAGGACATCCTTGTCTTATTCCAGTTTTTAGCAGGAATGCTTTCAATTTTTCTCCCTTTAGAATGATGCTGGCCTTTGGTTTAGCATATATAGCTTTTACAATGTCGAGGTATGTTCCTGCTGTCCCTAGTTTTTATATTGTTTTGAACATGAAGGTGTGCTGTATTTTGTTGAATGCTTTTTCTGCATCTATTGAGATGATCACATGATTCTTGTTTGTAAGTCTATAATATGATGAATTACGTTTAATGATTTCTGTATATGAACCAACTCTGCATGCCTGGAATGAATCTCACTTGATCGTGGTGCAATATCTTTTTAATATGTTTTTGTATGCAATTTGCCAGAATTTTATTGAGTATTTTTTCATCTGTGTTCATCAGGGATATTGGTTTTCTTTCCTTGAGTTGTCTTTGTCTGGTTTTGGTATTGGTGATATTAGCCTCATAGAATAAATTTGGAAGGGTTCTCTCCTTTTCTATTTCATGGAATACTTTGAGGAGTATTGGTGTTAATTCTTCTTTGAAAATCTTGTAGAATTCAGCTGAGAATACATTTGGTCCTGGGCTTTTCTTGGTTGGTAGGCTTTTGATGGTGTTTTCAATATTTCATGATTTGAAAGTGATCTGTTTAAATCATGTATGACCTCCTCATTCAGTTTGAGTAGGTCATATGCTTCTAGAAATTTGTCGATGTCTTTGATATTTTCTATTTTATCAGAGTGTAAATTTTCAAAATAGTCTAATTATCCTCTATATTTCAAGCATGTTCTTTGTGATATTTCCTTTTTCATCTTGTATTTTAGTAATTTGAGTTTTCTCTTCATTTATTATTTCAAATTTTGCTGCTTTTATTTCTTTGCCTTATATAATTGCCTTGACTAGAACCTTCAGTACAGTGTTGAATAGAAATGGTTTACAGCAGGGGCTGGGGATGTGGCTCAAGCGGTAGCGCGCTCGCCTGGCATGCATGCGGCCCTGTTTTGATCCTTAGCACCACATACAAACAAAGATGTGGTATCTGCCAAAAAGCTAAAAAAAAAAATAAATAATAAAAAATTATCTCTCCCTCTCTTTAAAAAAAAAAAAGAAATGGTTTAGAGCAAGACATTCTTGTCTTGTTTCTGTTGTTAGTTGAAAACTTTTAGCTTGTTGACATTAAGATCATGTTAGCTGTGTGTGTTTTTTGCTTGTTTTTTTTTCTGTAAACACTTTTATAAAAATGAGGAAATCTTCTTCTATTCTTCGTTTGTTGGGAATTTTTGCCATGAAAGTATGCTGAATTTTGTCAGTTTTTCTAAGTTCATTGAGATAATCTTGTGGACTTTTTCTTTTATTCTATTACTGTGGTACATTAAAACTTAAGGTCTGGGTCTTAAATGTTTCTGAAAAGCCATTTGCTAAAGGCTTAGTTTCAGCTGATGGTACTGTTGAAATGTGGCAGAAACATTTGAAAGTTGGAGCCTAATTAGAGGAAGAAGGTCACGGGGTCATGACTATGAAGGGTTTATTTTGTCCCTGGTCCTTTCCCACCCCTTCTCTACTTCCTGGCTGCCAGGAAGTGAGCAGCTTTGCTTCACCATGCTCCCTGCCATGGTGGTCCTGTCTTATCACAGACCCAGAAACAATGGAGGCAAGTGACCATGGATTGAATCCTCTCAAACTGTTAGCCAAAATAGATCTTTCCACCTTAAAGTTGGTTTCTGTCAGGTATTTTGTCACACTGAAAAAAAGCTGAAGAATGCAATTACATTGATTTTAAATTCTTAACTAAGATTACATTAATGAAGCTTAGATAAACTTCATGATGAATAAGGCTATTTGTATCTTGTTGGATTTGGCTTTCTAGTATTTTGTTGAGATTTTTTTCCATTTGTATTCATAATGATATTGTTCTATGGCTTTCTTTTCTTTTGTAATGTCAATTTTGTTTGACAATATTGTATTGGCCTTCTAAAATGATTGGTAAGTGTATTTTTCTGAGAGTTTATGCAATTGGTATTAATTCTTCTTCTAGAGTTTTGTAACATTTATCACTGAAAATCATCTGGTTCAGAGATTTTTTTTGTTATTGTTCTTCTGTTTTAAATTATTGCTGATTTATCATCTTGTAGATCTCTTTAGATTTGTTTTTCTTTTGTCACTTTCGGTAGATTACATATTCTAAGAATTTTTCTGTTTCATCTAGGCTGCCTAACTTGTTGGTATGCAGTTGATTGGAATAGTCCTTTATTTTTTTTTCCTTCATTCTGTAGTAATGTCCTTTATTTTACTGTTAATTTTATTTATTTATTTATTTAGGAGCACCTCTATCTTTTTAAAAAGCATTTTTAAATTTACACAGAGTAAATTTCATTCTTTTTGATATACAGTTCTTTGCATTTGGATAAAAGAATAGTCATGTGACCACTAAGACAATCAAGATACAGAATAGTTCCATCACCCCTCTTCTGCCCAAATTCCCTCATTCTGCTTTATCCTTAGTCCCTGGCAATCTGTTCTTTGTTTTTATAGTTTAAAACAAATTGTGATAAAACACACACCACATAAAATTTACCATTTAATCCTTTTTAAGTATACAATTCAATGACATTAAAGACATTCACAATGTTGTGCCACCAGCACCGCTGTTCATTTTACAACATCCAACAGAAACTCTGTACCCATTGAACTATAATGCCCCTCCCCCAAGTCCTCAACAACCTCTGTTCTCCTTTCAGTCTCCATGAGTTGACTTCTTCCAGATACTGAACATATGAATTACCCAACATCTGTCCTTTTGTGTCTGGTTTGTTTCACTTAGCATAATACTTTCAAAGTTCATTCATGCTGTAGCATGTTCCAGAATTCTCTTCCTTTTAAAGGCTGCATAATATTTATATATACACACACACACACACACACACACACACACACACACACACTGCATTTTGCTTTCCCATTCAGCAGTTGATAGACTTGTGAATGGTTTCTATCTTTTGGTTATTGTGAATAATGCTTCTATGAACATTGACGTACAAGATTTACTGCTAATTTTATTAATTTGTGTTCTCTTTTTTTTTCCTTGATTCGCTTAGTCAACTGTTTCATCTAGGCTTTATTAATGTTCTTCATTGTTTTTCTCTTATTTATGTTCTAATATTTATTATTTGCATCTTCTGTCTTTAACTTGTTATTTTTCTGTTCTAGTTTTCTAAGATAAGCTTAGGTTAATGCTTTGAGAAGTACTCTTTTTAAAAAAATATAGGCATTCATAGCTATCAACTGTGTTCTCTGGACTGCATACCAGGAGTTTTGTTATCTTGTGTTTTTATTCGTTTCAAATTATTCTTTAATTTCCCTTGAGATTTCTTTTTTAACCTATTGGTTGTTTAGAACTTTGTTTATTTCCTTATATATGTGAATTTCCCAGATTTCTCTGTTTTATTGATTTCAGTTTTATTCCACTATGGTTGGAGGACATACTTAGCATCATTTTGGTTCTTTTAAATTTATTGAGAGTTGTTTTATGGAGAATGTTTTATAAGCACTTTAAAAAATGTATATTCTGCTCTTGTTGGAAGATTATTCTCTAGATGTCTTGTTAGGTCTGTTTAGTTTATAGTGTTGTACAAGTTTTCTATTTCCTCATTAATCTTTTATCTAGTTGTTTTATCAGTTATTCATAGGTGGGATATTGAAATTTCCAATTATGCTTAAATAAATTATTTCTCCTTTCAACTTTGTCATTTTGGGCTTCATTTTTTTTGACTCTATTGTTAAATGAATATATTTATAAATATTCTGGATGAGAATATTTTAATATACTCATTTGTCTCACAAATTTTCAATCTTAATGTCTAATACTAGTGTAGTCATTTCATTTTTTTAGATTATTTTTTACATGATATGTACTTTCCACTGAGCTACATGCCCAGCTCTTTATTTCTGCCTTTTCGGTATGAATGGTTTTTATTACTTTTTCTTGCTTTATTGCAACAGCTATGGCCTCCTTATAATGCTGAATAGAAATAGTGAGAGGAGATATCCGTGTCTTTTTCCCAGTCTTGGCAGGGGAGGTGGCAATTAATCTTTCACTATTAAGAATGATATCAATTGTAGGACTTTTGTAGGTATGTTTTTATCAGGTAGAAGTGATTGTTTCACTTCTATTTTGTTAATATCTAAATCATGTATCAGTGTTGAATTTTTTTTTGAAATGCTTATTCTTTATTGAGATGGTCAAATAGTTTTTCTTCTGTAATTTATTGATGTGGTAGATGATACTAATTGATGGTGAATATTCAACTAACTTTACCAGGATAACCACTTAGGTCTTATATCCCTTTTTGAATATTGCTGGATTCATTTTACTAATATTTCATTGAGGATTTCTGCATCTATATTTATAAGCTCAAATTAATCTTTAAGCAAATACTAAGAACCAGGAGGACTTTCACTTCTAGTAAAGGTAAGCTGTATCATGTGGGGTAACCCTCCTACTGGAGACAACTAGTAAAGCAGAAAGAATTAAAAAGAAAATAAAAACACAAACTGTTTAGAACACCATAGAGCTATCAGACTGACTTGTCAAATCTCCACACTTAGACTCAGAGGAACATTTGCACGAGCTACTTGAACATTTGCACAAGTTAGAACTGTCATTTTAGAAATAAGATTATATTTATGGATATGACATAAATAGTTTCTTTTCTCCTCTTATTTTTCAAAGGCAGACATAAATGCATTAAACCAAAATCTGCAGGCATTAGTAGAAGAAAATAAGAACCTGGCAGATCAAATAGCTTCTCTGGAACTTCAGCGAGCCACTTCTGAATACCATGGGGTGGGTATGAAAAGGTCAGTCTGAGTTAGAAAATAATGACTAATGAGTTTTTTTAAAAATCCAAAGTCAGGAGATAGGTTTTCTCTGGTGGGTGTGTGTGTGTGTGTGTGTGTGTGTGTGTGTGTGTGTGTGTGTGTATGCATGCATGTATTAGTAATCATCATAAATCCTGAATAATGGGATAAATATGGCAGACATATCTGCAATTTTCAAACAATAGAAGATTTAAGAAAGCAAGAATTTAAGGTAGTTACTAAATGACCACCTACACAGATGATGTATAATCTAAAAGCACAACTATAGCTGATGTTTCAAAATATTTTCTCTCGCATAAATTGAGGAAGAAACTTGTGTTTTCCCCTGTCAGTTTCTTCCATTATGTAATCAGTAATATATCTGTTTTCTAGAAGATATTTGATGATGTTAGTTCATTATAAATAAATGGGTAGAGTTCTTAAAACATCTCTAAGTGGGGGGAAGTAAAGAGATGATCATTCTGATAACAAGTTAATAATTTTTCTTATAATAATTTTTGTGTTTTGAATACTTGAAAAGGAATTAGTTGTTATTTTTATAACATGCAAATCAATTTTGAAAATTTTCATATAAAGTCCTGATATGTGTCTCTTATATGAACTAAATTTTAAGCTTGTCATAAACTGCTGATTACTTCAACTAAGAAGAATTTATATAAACTAAGTAAATTATCTTATATTTTCATGGATTTTAAGCCTAGGTTTCAATTTTGGGCTGTGATCTTTAACCTTCAATGCAGAGAGGGTTAGAATAATTACCACATTGATTAGAAACTAACCTTTTTATGTATCTACTTTCAATCTCTTCTAATAAAAGAACAGAAGTTATCCATCCACATTTATACTCCTTTCTTCTAACATAATGCCTAATGCATATTAGGAAACATTGATCAAATAAAGTACAGAGTCAGTCACATATCTGGCCAGGCTGCAAGGATTGTCATCTTGAGTGCTAATCACCCATCATGAGCCCTTACATGTAGTATACATGAATAAATATTTTTCTCTCTCCTTTTTCTTTCACATATTCTAATATTAGGTTTATTTTTGCCACTTCAGCCTTCAGTGATAATGCAATTTAAGTCCATTACCACAGGCAGTTAAGCAGGCAACTATAGTAAGAAAAAATCCAAATGTGGTAGGAAAGTTACTATTCCTGAACTCAAGTTGAATGATTGTTCCCTACTTTTGCATTTTAACCACACATTGTTAAATAGTAGCACTAAATAGAAATACAGTTCCCTATGCAATAGAACTTTAATGATTTGAAATTCAACTGTATCAAAGTTGGTTCAATCTGCTGCTGAGGCCTATGTCATATTTTCACTAAAATTCTTGCTTAAATTATACTTATAAAATTACTTTATATGCCAATATCTCATTCGTTTTATATATTCTTTCAACAGTGTCTGCTAACTTTTTTATAGTTCAAAAAATTATTTTAGGGCTGGGATGGCTCCATGGTAGAACCCCTGCCTAGCATGCATAAGGTTTTGGATTTGATCCCCAAGACCACAAAAAGAAAACACACACACACACACACACACACACACACACACACACACACTAGCTAATTTTATGATATTATTAATAACACACTTCATTTTTAGAAAGTGTTTTGTGACTTACTCTTTGTGTTAGCTTTCCATCACTATGACAAAATACTTGAGATAATCAACTTAAAGGAGAAAAAAATTATTTTGGATCACCATTTTAAAGATTTTAGTCCATGGTTAGTTGGCTTATTGCTTTGGGTCTGTGGCAAGGCAGTACATATGGCAGAAGAGTTGCTTACCTCTTGATGGCTGGAAAGCAAAAAGATTCAGGAAGGGCCAGGTTCACAGTAGCCCCTTCATTGGGCACACTCCCAGTGACCTAACTTTCCTCCACTAGCTCCTACCTCCTAAAGGTTCTACCACTTCCCATTAATGCCACTAATTGGTGACCAAGCCTCCAACACATGGGCCTTTGGGGAGCATTCCAGATCATCCAAACCATAGCACTGTGGATCCATGACAACCTACCTTTCATATCTTAAGATAATTGTTCTGTGGTTGTTCCTGCAATATCCTTGTGTTTCTGAATTGAAAGATATGATCTAAACATTGATATTTTTCTTTGTACAACTCAGAATCCAAGGTGTTCACTCATTAAGTGAACAGTCTCTGATTGATTAAAGTACAGGGCCTATTTAAATAATCTGTAAACAATAAGTAAGTGCCTTAGCAACTGGTAACAATTCTCTGTCATGATTTTAAATAAGTGACCCTGTGTCAAATGTTGTTACATTTTGTCTTTATTTAGTTTTTACTTATTATGTTGGCATTCTCTTTGGTGGCAAAAAGGGGAAAGTGTATTTAAATATTAATAGAATTTTTCTATCCCTTTGCATAAAAGGGAATTTTTTTGAGGGGAAAAAAAGTGCCATGTTTAAAAACTTCCTGGACCCCTTTTACAGGAGACCAAGATCATCTATATTATTAAAACAAAACAACCCCCCCCCCAAAAAAATTTTCCACATTCCAAGAAGATAAATGAAGTTATTTTTGAATGTTTTATATTTGTTATAGCAATCATATTTTAGGTTGGATCTAGTTCTTATTTTTTAATATGCTGTATACTTTATAGCACATTGGGAAAACTTAATTTATAGAACTTGAAACTGACTTTTAAATAATTAAGTTTTTTGTTGTAGTTTTATTTTTGTAACATATTGACCTCATAACTTATTTGTGACTGAAGAGTTCGTCAAAATATAATCCTAAACTATGTTTCATTTATGGAATGATTTTTGGATCATAGTTTCCAAAATAGAAAAAGGGGCTGTATATCTTCCACAAACAGAATGTTAGTTAATGACTAGCTAATTTTATGATATTATTAATTACACACTTCATTTCCCTTAGGTTATTTTTAAATTTTTTTTAGTTGTAAATGAACACAATGTCTTTATTTATTTATTTGTATGTGGTGCTCAAGATCAAACCCAGTGCCTCACACATGCCAGGCCAGTGCTCTATCGTTGAGCCACAACCCCAGTTCATCCCTTAGATTATTTTGAAACCAATATTTTAGTTGTCTCATTGCTTTTAGAAAAATACTTTCTTTTAGTGGGAGCAACACATAGATTTTTTTTTTAATTTTTGAAAAGAAATTATAGCAAGCCATCGTGGCATACATCTGTAATTCCAGCAAGTGAGGAGGCTGAGGCAGGAGGATTACAAATCTTAGGACAGTCTGGGCAACTTAGTGAGATCCTGTCTCAAAATAAAAAAATTAAAGGGGCTGGGAATGTAACTTAGTGGTAGAGTACCCTTGGTGGTAGAGTACCTGCAACCACTGATACAACCACACCATCTCTGGCTTGGATCACAGCTAAGAAATAACTAACATAGCAAAATAACAACAACAGCAATGTACAAAGAACAACAAACTCTGGGACTCTTAAGGCTCTATACTTTAATCAGCAAGTCTCCTTATGTGTTGCTTGTTAGCACTGAGACCAGTTATCTAGGGAGAGACTAGAAGGCAGCAATAACAAATAAATATGAATCTTGATCTTAATACTATGGAAGTATAAGGGTACTAGTACTTTTTTTTCCCCAAAAGAAAATGCTTATTCCTTTCTATGCCAAGAAGTACTGATACCTGTGTTTGCATTATCAGCTTGCTGAGCAAAAGGTGGAAAATGTCTTGGGAAAAATTACTGAGAGTAAAAATAAACTGGCCTATGAAAAGGGAAAACTCCAGGTATGAGATTTATTTTCATATTTTATATGATTTTTAAAGATACTAATTGTAAAACTAAATATTGCTGGATTTTTAGAAGACCTACCCTATTGTTTACTAATTCTGTAGTCTTTGAACCTCCCTGTTTGTGGCTTCCTTAATATCCAGATGACTTCTGTTCATATTCAATTCACATAATACTGAAGCCTATTGTAGTGACAATCTTTACAAATTTTGTGATGATTTGAAGACTTACTGTAGTTATTTTATGCCTCCTCACTCACTGAAAATATAGAGGTCCTATGCTTTCTTTTTTCATGAATTTTTATAAACCATCTAAAAAGAAATAACTCTGACAATTGGGCCTCAGAGACAATAGAATAGACTTAAGTGAAAGTGATGATACTGTTCTTTTTGTGATTGTGCATTTTACCCCCATGGCATCTACCTATTGAGGAACAGCTTTGCACATTTTAGAGCCAGGGGCGGTTCAACACAGCAGGGTATTGGCACAGGGTGCTTTCTGAATGGTGGGTAATGATCATGAGGGTCAGCAGGGTATTGGCACAGGGTGCTTTCTGATTGGTGGGTAATGATCATGAGGGTCAGCAGGGCTCACCATTGGGCGGCTCTTCCTGCCGCTGTCTCGGGGCATGAGGAAGTTAGTACTGGAAGAGAAGCATGGCTGGCACCATCTTTGGAGCAAAACCTTGCTACAGATGTGACTAAGCCTGTCTTTAGCCTACTGCAGTGGAAACACCAATGTCTACATCAGTGGTTCTAAGCCTAGTACATACACATCATCACCACCTAGGGAGAGTTTAAGATGTCTGAGCTCTGGAACGTGCATCATATTTGCCACTTTTTTTAAATGCATCCTAGGGAAAAAATACATTAATGGATTGATAGGGAGAATGATAGATGGATAGATATGTGATAAGTAAAAACAAAAAATAATGGTTGACTTTGGTTGGTGGACCCTAAAGCATACTCTTAGTAAAATTCTGTCAAATTTTCTGTATGTTCAGTTTTTTTCTTAGTAAAATGTAAGAATGAAAAATCCCCATGTCTAGAATTCCAACCCAGAGCAACTAAGATAGAATTTTAGGGGGTAGTCTAACCTCTGATACTTTTTAAAGCTCCCTAGATGCTGATATGATGAATTCTTCTAAATATCTCATGTACTCATATCCAAAAGATTATCTAAATTAGTGGTCATATAGTATCTTAAGATTTACTGGATTGTGTCAAATTTCTCCTAAAAGTAGTTATGCCAGTTTTAAAAGCAATGTATATACAGATATATTAAACAGGTGCATTAGAGTTACATATGTTAACATGGATGAATCTCATACTATATTACTATTTAGAGATACATATATAGTAAGATTTTAAACTGAGAATGATGAATACCAAATCCAAATCCAGCATTGTAATTAACTCTAGGATGAGGGGGAGATTGGGTTAGAATGGGTGCTACAGGATTGTTGTTTTGTGTGTGTGTGTGTGTGTGTGTGTGTGTGTGTGTGTGTGTGTGTGTCAGGGGAGATATTAGGATCAAACCTAGGGCCTGAAGTCAGGCAAGTGTTCTACCACTGAGCTACACACCCAGTCCAGAGGTTTCAATTGATCTGGTAATATTTTATTTTAATTTGAATGGTGGGTAGGTGGAATATTATCATACATTTCTGAAAGAGTTCCAATACTTTATAAAATCATTTTTAAACGTGCCAGTTTGAGTCACTTAGCCTTGCAATAATCTGCCATTGGTTGCATCACTTACATCAACACCTGGATTCAAACAGGTTAGCAGACTGGCCCTTGTAAGCAACTGCAATTGTGAACTTAATTTACAGATTAGATAAGGGTTTGTTTTATGTTTTAGTAAACTTTTTCTTGAACTATAATATATATACTGAAAAGAACATGGGACACAGCCTGATGAACTTTTTACAAATTAAATTTAGTACTCAGATCAAGAAACGGCACATTCCCAACATCCAGAACCTTCTTCCAATAACTATCCCCAACATGGGTAATTACCATCCTGACTTCCAACACCTCAGATTAATTTTACCTATACATTCACTTAACATAATCACACAATACATACTTTTTAATGTCCTGCTTCTTTAACCCAACATTTCAGTAGTGAGTTTCATTATTCGTATTTGTCGTGCTGGTTCTTTGTTTTGCATTGCTGCATGCATGTTGTACCATTATATGAATATTAGATAAAGGCCTTAAAAGAGAAAAATATGCTATACTGAAATTAGCAGTTCTTAAGTCTATTTTCATACATTTATTAAAATGCATAACTTTGACCATTCCTGTCGTTTTAACCTATTATGTCCCGGCATTCCATATATAGGGCCCTGTATAAAAACTACATATAGAATGATGGGACATAATGGATTAATGCTGAAGCTCATTTCAAACTATAAATAAGCTAAGGTTATTGGTATGTCCTACTGTATTTCGAATTTACAGTATATATTGAAGAAAAAAACCTAGGAATTTTAATTGTATTATTTTAGAATATTTGCATTATAAACAGACTAAAGAAGAGTTTCTTTCCATTTCTTTTTTCTATTTTTTTTGTTTTATTGATTTTATTTTTTTAAATACACAACAGTGGGATGCATATCTTTGTATATAGAATATATTCATGCCAATTCATGCCTTTATACATGTACTTTTTTGCATTATAATTCTTATTATACAAATATATCACAATTTTTCATGTCTCTGTTTATACATAAAGTATGTTGACACCCAATTTGATTCTTCATACATGTACTTTGGATAATGTCACATTCCACCATTCTTGCTGATCCCCTGCCCCCTCCCTTCCCCTCCCACCCCTCTTCCCTATATAGAATTCATCTAATCATTCCATGCTCCCCCTCCATACTCCACTATGAGTCAGCCTCCTTATATCAGAGAAAACATTCAGCATTTGTTTTTTGGGGATTGACTAACTTCACTTAGCATTATCTTCTCCAACACCATCCAGTTAGCTGCAAATGCCATGATTTTATTCTCTTTTATTGCTGAGTAAAATTCTATTGTGTATATATACCACATTTTTTTATCCATTCATCCACTGAAGGGCATCTAGTTCAGCTCCACAATTTAGCTATTGTTAATTGTACTGCTATAAACATTGATGTGGCTGTGTCCCTGTAGTATGCTGATTTTAAGTCCTTTGGGTATAGTCCAAGAAGAGGGATAGCTGGGTCAAATGGTAGTTCCATTCCCAATTTTCCAAGGAATCTCCATACTGCTTTCCATATTGGCTGTACCAATTTGCAGTCCCACCAGCAATGTATGAGTGTACCATTTTCCCCACATCCTTGCCAACACTTATTGTTGTTTGTCTTCATAATAGCTGCCATTCTGACTGGAGTGAGATGATATTTTAGAGTAGTTTTGACTTGTATTTCTCTGATTGCTAGAGATGATGAGCATTTTTTCATATATTTGTTGATTGATTGTATATCCTCTTCTGAGAAATGTCTGTTCAGGTCCTTGGCCCATTTATTTATCAGGTTATTTGTTCTTTTGGTGTTTATTTTTTTGAGTTCTTTATATACCCTATTAGTTCTTCTTTAAAGGTCTTATAGAATTTGGCTGTGTATCTATCCAGTCCTGGGCTTTTCTTGGTTGATAGGCTTCTGATGGCATCTTCTATTTCATCACTTGATTGGTCTGTCTAACTTGTGTATATCATCCTGACATCAGATACAGCACTAATCTCTAGGGTATTTAAAGAACTATCTGATGTGTGAGGGGTAAAAATTTGCTCCCAGGATGTAGGCTCTCTCTTTACCTCACAGATTGCTTCTTTTGCTGAGAAGAAACTTTTTAGTTTGGTTCCATCTCATTTATTGATTCTTGGTTTTAATTCTTAAGCTATAGGAGTCATATTAAGGAAGCTGATGCCTAATCCCACATGATGAAAATTAGGGCCTACTTTTTTTTCTATTAGATGCGTAGTCTCTGGTTTAATTCCTAGGTCCTTGATTTATTTTGAGTTTAGTTTTGTGCATGGTGAGAAATAGGGGTTTAATTTCATTTTGTTGCATATGGATTTCCAGTTTTTCCAAAACCATTTGTTGAAGAGGCTATCTTTTCTCCAATGCATGTTCTTGGCAACTTTGTCTAATATAAAATAATTGTAATTGTGTGGGTTAGTCTCTGTGTCCTCTATTCTGTACCATTGGTCTACCAGTCTTAGTCTTGGTCTACCAATACCATGCTGTTTTTGTTACTATTGCTCTGTAGTATAGTTTAAGTTCTGGTATAGCGATGCCACCTGCTTAACTCTTCTTGCTAAGGATTGCTTTAGCCATTCTGGGTCTCTTATTTTTCAGATGAATTTCATGACTGCTTTTTCTAGTTCTATGAGGAATGCCATTGGAATTTTGATCAGAATTGCATTAAATCTGTATAGTGCTTTTGGTAGTATGGTCATTTTGGTAATATTAATTCTGCCTAACCAAAAGCAAGATAGATCTTTCAATCTTCTAAGGTCTTCTTTGATTTCTGTCTTTAGGGTTTGGTAGCTTTCATTGTATAGCTCTTTCACCTCTTTCATTAAGTTGTTTCCCAAATATTTTTATTTTTTTGAGGCTATTGTGAATGGGGTAGTTGTCCTCATTTTCTTCTCAAACACTTTGTCACTGATACACAGAAATGCCTTTGATTTATGGGTGTTGATTTTATATCCTGCTACTTTGCTGAATTAATTTACTAGTTCTAGAAGTGTTCTGGTGGAATTTTTTAGGTCTTCTAGGTATAGAATCATATCATCAGCAAATAGTGCTAATTTAAGCTCTTCTTTTTCTATACATATCCCTTTGAATTCTTTGTCTAATTGCTCTGGCCAGTGTTTTAAGAACTATGTTAAATAGAAGTGGTGAAAAAGGGCATCCCTATCTTGTTCCAGTTTTTAGAGGGAATGCCTTCAATTTTTATCCATTTAGAATGATGTTGGTCTTAGGCTTAGCGTAGATAGC